CAACGATAGAGGGTGAGGGAGGGAGATAGTAGGAGAGGAGGGAGAGGAGGGAGAGGAGGGAGAGGAGAGAGCGGAGAGAGAGAGAGAGAGAGAGAGAGAGAGAGAGAGAGAGAGAGAGAGAGAGGGGGAGAGAGAGAGAGGGAGAGGGAGGGAGAGAGGGGGGGGGAGAGCTCTTCCTACGCCCTACTACCGCCACCACCAACCGGAATACATACATTTTTATTTCACACCCTTGCAATTCTGTCGGGTCGTCCTTTGTAAGGTCGCGGTGGGGCGGCCGTCCTATGATACCTCCGCCGCCTTTGAGGCGTTCCCTTCCTCCGAGCCGCAGCACACAAAACAGTTTTTGCTTCACGTAATAGAGGAGAGGACCTGCAGTGCGTTAACAGTTTTCATTTCTGGACATTTCTTGACAAAAGATATAGAGGTTATATTTGTAATAAAGTACGGAGAGCTGAATAATAGGGGATGGAGGTTGTGAAGAGTGGCCGGAAAAGACGTCAGCAGAACTGTCGGGGGGTCGGAGGGGATCTGCATTCGGTTTCATCAGTCTGCCAATCATGCCATTGGCGGACCAACAGCCAATCACTGACTGACTAGGGGGGCTTCATTCCCCCCCTCCCCCCAATTCTCTCTCTCGCTCTGAATCTCGCCATCAAAGCACTGCTCGCCGTCCTCGCCTACCAAATTAAGGCTTCCTCTTGGCCGCGAGTCGTTATATAGACACTCGTCAAGCCATTAAAAATTCAATCCGTTTTTGAGGGGCGTAGGGCAGCGACACCACCCCCACGCCCCGACCAGCACTTAGTCGTGAACTATCCGAGGAGGAATTGAGCGAGCAAATACCCGGGTCGGATTGGCTTCCGTGGACTGTAAACAAAGCACTAAGGAAACTACTTAAATAGACCGAATAAATAAGAATTACCGTAAACAAATTGTTATCTTCCCAAACACCCAAGAGTCTGAAAAGCTGTAGCTATTCATTTTTCTGGGTCAGTCCGGTCCTAATTTTGGGTAAAAACAGGCGGAGAGCAGCGCCCAAAGTTGTTCAGCGAATGTTTTGCTTTCATAAACTGTAGGAGCTCCATCAGCACCTTGCGTTTGTGATGAATTAATAGGGTTTGCATTGACATCAGATTTAAGTCCCACCCTCAACGGGAAACGTCTTCCCCACCCACAATATCTCTGCATGTTTGTGCGATCCATCTCCCACGACCGGACCAGCTGCGCAGCACAAACCCCTAAATTCAAGTTTCTCCCTGGGAGTGCATGTCATTGAACAGCGGCAGCAGCACCAGCACGTCCCCCAACATCTTCATAAATTTCTCATACCTCCTCTCTCTTACCCCTACATCTCCCCGTCTCTCTCTTATTGTAAATGAGGGTCCGAGCTGCAATAAATTATCGCCCGGCGGAAGATTCTAATCCTGTCTGCTCCAATTGCGTTCTTCTCCTTCTTCTCCCACTTTTTTCCCCCCTCTCTGTTCCCATCCAGGCAGCCGCAGCATCAGCCCCTGCGCGTGGCGGGGCGTAGCAGCCCCGTCGAGATATTATTATGAGCGCTTGCGGCGCGGCGGGCCGGGCTGCTAGTAGTGTCTGCGGCGCGCTGCACTCTATAGGCAAACATTCCGTAAAAGTCCTGTACAAAACCGCGAAACTTATTAATTAGAAGGGCCGCGTTTTACCGACCCGGAGCTTTTCCTGCCCACTGCAAAGTGCGACGCATTTTAATAGAGCCCAATGGTCTTCGTTGACGACGGGATGGTGTGGCTCATTTGGCGTTCATCTCTCTCTATTTTTTATCTCCTTTCTCTGCACACTTTCTCTTCCCTTCCCCCCTTTCCATCTCACCTCATCGACACCAACAGGCGATCCTACATCGGCTTGGCACGGACCACGACCGTTTCTTTCTCTCTCACTCGACCACATTAACCCATTCATCAACACTCCCAGCAAAAGCGTATTTGTTTTTAAAGTAAAGGCACTGTTATTCAAATACTGTGAGGTCACATTCTATAAAATGTGAATTGTGTCACATTATTTAGAATATCATGTCACATGTCACATTCGTTTTCACGTGACAGAGGTGCACTGATCCCTTAAGGGCAGAGCGGTGCAAAAGGTATGTCACGTTCTAAAGAATGTGACGTGATATTCTAAATAATGTGACACAATTTACATTATATAGAATGTGACGTCACAGTATCTGAATAACAGTGGGTAAGTGACAGAAAAGTTCACGAAGCAGAAACCAGGACCAATGCCATAGTTTGTTCAAAATAGTTCGAAGTAAAACTTAACATTTTTCGATCTGTTGCTACGCGAGGTAAAAACAGTTTCTCGTATTTCAAGACCTGGTTTTGAATGCCATTGGCGTTCCCCATAAGATCCAAGACCGTGTCTTTGAAATACAAGAAACTTCTTTTTTTACCGTGCACATCCATCCGACTGGCGTGGGCAAGCGCCTGATCGGTATGCAGTCCCGTTGCACGCGGGTGTGTGGCGGGCCGGCCTACCATCGCAGGG